TAATACTTTACGGACAAGACGAAATAAGTCAGTGATCCAACGTTTGATAAACTTGTATAACAGTAAATCATGTTTATATCGAACACGTAACATGGATAACAATATTTTCTTAGAATGATTTCTAATATCAAGAAAATAACGACTTGCAGAATGCAATGTGAGTATATGACGAATTATAGTTATAACAAGGTAATTAAAGCTGCACTTCATTGTTCCAAACTTTATGTGAGATTATACGTCAATTATGAAGATTTAAGAATGCGGCAATTATTTTATGTTGCTCACATTGAACGTGTTTTTTTTTCTTCCAGAAATGGTGATCATATGAAACATACTCTAACCTTCAGTATACGACGAGTTCATGATTTTTGAAAGCGGGTGAAAGAGTTTGACATATTTCGCTACTTCACTTGACCCTTGGACTAGGATTCCCCATTTACATTTTTTTTAATTGATTTTCTCTTAATTTGGGTATATTTCTGAGGTGGTAAATTTGCTTTTCTGATAAAGCATGAGTACTATTCAGTTCAAAGCCCAGACACCTTCGGTGACCTTATTTAGATTTAGATTCAAATGGAAAACAGTAAGAAGTATGAAACATTGCTAACTTGTTTCAGAAATTGATAGTATGCTATACATGTATATAATAGTATATAATATAAATATTTACTACAAGCATATTTCCTTTCCTTTTTTTCTGAACCTTTCAGTGCAGAGAACACACAAAAAATAGCCATCATTTAAGGAGGAATGCCACACCAGAATTTTATTCAATGAATCTTTATGACATCCTTTTTTACTGTGGTTTCAGCACTGAAAGACAATATTAGCTCTTATTTATTTTATACATTTTTTTGTTTGCATTTTTTCAGAGAAAATAAAAAAGTTTTATTTGCAAATGAGAGCAAATGAGATGCTTTATGGTTTAAAATTTGCAGTTAATAAATGCATAATATATCGTCTAATAAAATATGTAAAGAAAACCGATAGACATTTTATTTTTTTTAAATAAAAAATATTTATGAAAATAAAACACATTTTTAAACCTACGTGGATAAAATCTTCAGAAAACTAGTCACAGCTAGGGAGAACATGTTAGTCAATTATGTTTTAAAAAAAGAAATCGAAATGAAATTGCGAAAATTAACTTTAGAGAGAATAATTATTTAATATTTGGACCAATCCCGATCAATGTCAGACTCGGAATTTTGTTGACAAAGCAAAAAAGAAAAACGTAAATAACTTGTCTTAACCTAAACTTATTTCCTTTGGGGGGGGGGGGGGGGGCTTCTGATCCGCGCATGACTTTTGGAACTCATTTTCAATTCACCGACAAATCTACTCGTATTTAATCCATGCACAATGTGTTACGAAAAGACACCGCTTACGCTTTTGTCGTGCAGCGAAAGACAAACTTAAGCTTTAACTTTGTGTTTAGTTAAGGACATACGCAAAGTAGTTTGAACTTTATTGTCTTTTTTCCCTGGATCGAGTTGAAGAGTTCCAATACTACCAATACTAGAGGAACTGTGTGCTACATTTTAATGTTTATATATGCTGTTGAACACTTCTTCTAAAACAAGTTTGGATAAACAAAACATCTAGAATATATGTTTAGAAATTTTTGTATATTTTTCTTTGAATTATACAAGAATTTTCATCAATTGAAAATAGGCAAGGTACGTTGCATCAGTCCTTAAGTATCAAACGTACCGTGTCGAAGACATTCAACGTGTATAGAGCCATTAGAGGTACATTATGTATTCGTGTACAAATTTTGTTGATGACTTTCTAATCTTTAAAGTTTTTATAGCATTCGGTGTCGGATCCAAAATTCTTAAAAAGGGAGGGGGCAACCAGTTCGGGGTATGCGGTGGAGGCCCAGGGGGCGAAGCCCCCGTAATATGTTTTAGGTTTTAAGGAACAGTTTTTCGACTTATTTTAGCTATATTTTATGTAAAATTAAATTAATGCAATATCCCACAACAAAATAATCATTTATTCATCTTGTGCATATTTTGGTCACTAAAGGGGAGGGGGTTGGGTCCCCGTCCCCCTCTAAATCCGCCAGGGGCACTGGTGACATTAACTTTTGGACCAACCCTTGTACATTGTCAGCTGAATGTTGCATAACTATGTGAGAAAATATGTCAGTTATAATCTTTATATATTTTCTATTTACAAATTGAAGTATTGATATTGCTGATAGTTAATGATATGTATTTATACTGTCTGACAATCAATATTTCTAGTCATATTATTGAGACTCTTAAGTCCTTTTGACAGACACATCACAGTGTTAATTTGTATGATTATTTATCTGTTATGTACATGTATATATATATATATATATATATATATATATATATATATATATATATATATATATATATATATATATATATATATATATATACACCTGATATATATCTGGAAGTACGATGGCCGACAGCGGCCGCCACTTTTGATTCTGAATATTGTCATTTTGTACAGCTTTTTTGTCAATTTTCGTTGACAAATTACAACTGAACTGGTAATGCTATATGTCCATATACAGTTTTTACACTGACAATTTACACTGGAGAAAATCATTAAAATTCTTTCTTGTGATATGAAATGAAGATACATAAAACAGGTTACTTGAAGGTGATAAGCTTAAGGTTCTAGCAGAACAGCAAGGTCGGGGTGATTACGGATTAGTATTGTCTTCTAGATATGCTTTCTCGACAGATTGTAGTAATTAATTCATAAAATTCCATGTTGGTGTACCTGCTGGTCACATCATAGGTAACCAGGATGAAATTTTCCAGGTCTATCAGAAATTTGATTTTGTTCATAATCGGACGTGTCTTTGATGTATGAATTTTGTTTTTTAAACAATGCGCACGAGGAAATGATCACATTAGTTACATGTACCTATGGTTTACAGCTCTTGTTTAGAATCTATATTTCATCAAATGGATGACACTCTGTTATGCAGGTTTGTGATGATTAGACGAGCGAAAGAGAAGCAACGGACGTTGTTGGGATCGCTAGTCTAATATTATAGTAAGTTTAGTCTAATATTATAGTAAGTTTAGTGTATAAGGGGAAACAATTTTATATATTGATTGCTTCCCCCGTATACACTAACTGACTAAACTTACTACGCTGACTTTCAACATTTTTTTTTTTTAAATATTTAGTTATTTCTAAGTATTTCTTCACTTTTGAAGTGAGTTGCGGCATTTCTATCCTATCCGATTTCGCTGCCGTATATTAACTAAATAATTTAAAAATGATTTGAAGATAATAGACCATCGATATTCACTGAAAACAATCACTGAAGCCATCCAAAAATTAAGGACCACAATAGGTGAGAACAACTGTGTCACTAATTACTGTATATACACAGCCACAGGCGATAATTGGTGTTTTAGAGGTAGAAGACTACAAGCTATAATTACCGTATGCATACATGTATTTAAATTAGTTTTTGATAAGTTTTTGATAAAAATAAGTACTTTGAAATATCCGAGTAACCGAGTACCATTTTTAGTATTCGATACTCGGACGTTCGATCGAGTACCCGGTTAACCGCGTACTCGTTGACATCCCTTATATATATATATATATATATATATATATATATATATATATATATATATATATATATATATATATATATATATATATATATATATATATATATATATATATATATATATAAGTAATACACACTACACACACACAAACACAAATTTCTAATGGAATTTATTTTTGCAACGGTGGTAACAACCTAACTGATATAGTGAAATGACCTGTACCTGTTGACCCGATGAGGTTGAAAGACACGACAATGTGTGAAGTTTCTGATTTTTTAATAATGCATCTGATATATAAAATATAAAATAAAGGATTTAAAAATTGAAACCGCAATTCTATGTCCTTGTTTGCCGTACTCGTCATTGTATGTTGTCTGTTACTCTATCTGTATATATATGTTTATGCCCATTTGGCCCTGATTTGGTGGTAATAAATCCTATTCTATAAAATTCATTATATTAGTTCAGTAAACCCCCTTTATACACATGCACAAGTGGCGACGGTTGAGAGATTGTTGAGCGTTGCAATACAGAGAGATCATAATATCTCTCAACGGTCTCCCAGCCTCAGCATGATCTCTCTTTGAATCTCCCTAAGCCTCCACAGTCTCCATCGTCTCTTCAAGGTTTTGATTCGACCAAAAACAGTCTCTTGACGATCGGAAGGTAATCAATGATTATTGGTGTCGAAAACGTTGAGAGAGAGAGAGCGAGAGAGTAAATGGATCGCCCAGCAATCTCTTAAATTGGGTGTCTCAGAGGTCTTTCTAAGATCGTTTTGAATTAAGGATCCCTCAATGCCTTGACTGGTCTCTCAACAATCTCTCAGAAGTCACTATAGAGAGCAAAATAACCTTCAATATCGGGGAGGGGGGGGGTCATTCAGGGTGCTCACACAGTCCTAGATCGCTTACTGATCTCGACAGATCGTCATGAAACGAGGCAATAAAGAGTACCTGTTAGTATAAACCGGTGAATCCATTTTAAAAATTAACGTTAGATCTTAAATCATAGCTAGGATTTGTAAGCAGTGCTAAATAGGAATGATCTCCTTATACCTGATAACACTTACACAGAGGCGGACTTTCGGAGGCTTTCAGAGATCACTAAGAGATTACATCGCTAAAAGATCTGTCAGCGATTTACATTTTTTTAAAGGGGCCCTAAGGCATTGGGTTCGAGTTGACTAGAAACCGTTGACTAGAAACATTTCGTGATAACAGATAACATTGGGCATTGTTCCAAGACTTGATTTGATTCATATTTCCCAATTTTAACAAATATCAAAATCATTAATCAAGAACCCATCAAGAATTACACCTCCTCCCTCCAAATTGATGCACAGTACGTTCAATTTCCATGTTAACAGTATTTGAATCGGGATCGGAAGAAGGGCAAGAACTTATTGGATCGTTGAAATCTGTCAGTGTCAAGTTATAAGGTGCACATAGTGCTTGTAAACGGATGGTTATATATAAAGTAGTGAGTAAATATGGACATAAACACTTTCAATATACAGTTCTATATCATTTATACAGTAGAGCACGTTTCATTAAGCTATGAAAATGATATTGCAGTGTCAATGACTCGAATATGTTTTCCACAGGAGAGGGAAACTGCGTCATATTGGATTATTGGCATATTTCATTGGAATTTAGATGTGCCTGAGACTATCATTATGTAGTCAGTATATATTTTTTTGAAACATTGATAAATATTTCTATTTTCAGAAGAAGGTTTGGTCACTGTGAGGAGTTTCTAGATAATGAAATTTACTGCAGGTCCATTTAAATATGGCTAGAGTTTGAAGAAAAAAGCTTTAGAAAAGGTCTGTATATAATTAATCATCAATAATCTGTAGTTTTGGTAAACATTCTTTTGCCTCTACTCTTCATTACAAACACATCACATTTGTTTTACTGGTAACGGATATTGGCCAATATTGTTGAATAATTTTTTATTTAAATATTCTTGAAAAACATAGTGATGGGTTTAAATATTTCTTACCTAAGGTAAATACAATAAAAGGATAAATATTCTACCCCTGTGTATCGTCTTTGTAACATTGGTATGATTAATTTCCACAATATTTACAATTTGAAACAATGACCCAGATTTGAACATGTGCAAGTGCAAGTCAGAGAAACCGTAAGTATGTAAACAAATGCATCTAAATCAAAATTTTCAATGTGTTATTGATCCAGATTGAGTATGTTTTCAATATTACAAGCAAAGATATTTCATGAAAATTGTGTCTCGGAGATGGTTGATTTAAAAGCAGTAATATATCATAAAAAGTTTATCATAAAATTTCTCATAGTGTTTAGTTTTAGAAAAAAATTCATTGTAAGCAACATGTAATGTTTATATACTTATGTAGAATTTTGTTCAAGGCATATTTCAACAATAATTCCAATCCGCCAATTTTATTTATTGGGTCAGCAAAAGTAAAGGACACTTGATTCAATACTGAAAAATGAATGAAGAAAGGGCTTATATAGGCTATGCCTGCTGCCTAATCCAGTTATGTATTTATTGCATAAATAAATATGTTCAAAATTGAAAAATGAATGAAACCTTGGATTATCATGATTATGTGTGTGTGTGTGTGTGGGGGGGGGGGGAGGGGGGGATGTTTTAATTGACATTTCTGTGCCTGTACCATTCATATTTTGGGAATTTTGTAACCACCTACTTGAAAAGCATAGAAATACGAATTAAACAATCAAGAACATTTGGAACTTCGACAATGTAGGTTGAGTGCATGACATAACAACAAACAGATTCCCAACCGTTAAAATGACGACTGTACAATAAAACTCGGTTATAGCAAAATCGAAGTCCTGGGGACCTGTAAATTTACTTCACTATATCCATAATTCGTTATATCCGTATAACGAACCTCTATACATATATTTAGTGAATTCACAATATGTTAGGGAAGCAATTATTACAAAACATACATTGGATAACTAAGGTTTAATTATGAATTGAATTTTATATACAAATACTTAACAAAAATAATATCAGTTCAGTATATAAAACTTTGAGATCTTTAAAAACTCATTATAAAGATGTAAATTCCATTATTTTTAACCTCTAGGGGACTCAAAATCAGTTCGCTATATCTATAAATTCATTAGTCAGAGTTCGTTATAACTGTATAATTTTACAAAGAATTGTTAAGAATTTTGCTGGGGACCCTAAAAAACTTCGCTATATCTGTGAATTCGCTATATATCTGTGTTCATACTAAACCAGCTTTACTGTATACAGACCAAAGAAAGAATTAATGCTTAATAAAGTAAGTCTATAGCCTGACCCAGTATGATGACTGCATGTACTTCACAATTCAAGTTTACATCATTAATGTATTATTTATAAAATGTTATATCACCCATTTAATTAAGAATTTACAAAATAAACTAAATACTATATAGTGTTGTGCTTTGCTAGATTAATTAAAACTTTTTTTATTTCTCTAATTTTCCTTGCTGTCTTTTCTAGACTTAGATATTTCCTGTAAGATATTGATGTCTTGAACATATCTTGTTAATGAGTAATTTAATTAGTACGGGGAAAGCTGGTTCAATGCTGACCTTGTGATTCGCATTGAAAAGAATTATTTCATTATATTAACTAATGCATATAATTTGCTAAAAAGTTTTCAAATGAGTAATGACATAACCATGATGAATACTTCTATTAATTTAAATAATGAGAGAGAAGGGGAAAAGGGGGGTTCCTTTGGTGTAAATTAAAGAAACCAATTATACTCTTTTTCTATGTACATAAAGTAAAGGAAAATTTTGAATCCAATCAGTTCTGTATTTATACCAATATGTCACTCTGGTGTGTGTATATATATATATATTCAGTGTATACTTAAGAAGTGGTATGTAAAAGTGGTATCTGAAGTCACTTTGATGTAGTAGGATGTAAAAGCTGGCCAAAAAACTCAGTTATTCACTAACAGTAACATATTCGAAATTTCATTCAAGTCACACAACATTATGCAACTTGTACCTGTTTATTAAAAAATTACATGTGAATTTCAAGAGTTGCAGGGCCACACTAAATCATATTAGCGCCCTCAGTCGATATACTCCATGTATCTTCGGTCAATATCTGTCATCCTGGGTCATTATAAATGCATATTGACCTACATTGAGTCCATATTTGTATAATACATGTATTAATATGCAATTATTCCCAAGTTATGTGGATTGAAATTTTTTCAAGTTATGGATCCTAGGGTGTGGCTTAAATCTGGAATAATATTTTCATAATACATGATAAGGACCCCCCTAAAATCTCAAGAACAAGGCTTTGTCAGTCACATAGTAAATGGAAGCATCCCAGTGTTATTTGGTTAATTGGTTACCCTTTGATGCTAGGTTTGGGCTATAATATGATGTCAACATTTTCATTGGAATAAAGAGAAAAAAAGTTATGAAAGATCAGTTCTGAAGAAAAGCAGGGCCCAGGTTATGCAGGTGAGTGTTGTGGCCCATAGGCCTCTTGTTTAAAAAATAATTTAAAAAATACCATCCTTGAATCAGTAGTTATTCTTTCCAACAGATTTTCAAAAAATAAAGATGAAACTTATTTCACTAGAAGTATTTGTTAGTTGCAGAAAATTTTATACTAGTATGTATAAAGGTCAGAGATTTCATTGCCTGATCTAGGAAATGAATTTTATCATCTAGAAATATATGTATATCTGAATACCATTAATATTCCTTTTCCTAACTTTGTTTTGAGATTAATATGAAATAAAATTTAAATAGAGAAAAATACATTGCAAAATCTACCACATGTACCATATATTCTAAATTCCCAATTTATGTGAATACTTATGTCGCAAAATAACTCATAGACATCAAATCATGAGAACAATAATTCACAAGTGGACTGTTAATCAAGAGTATATAGATCTACATTTTATGTACATGATGTATTTTAGCAATATAAAAATAAGAGTGACTGATATTATATCATGTTATGTACATGATATATTTCAGCAATATAAAAATAAGAGTGACTGATATTATATCGCAAGTGGTGCTTCTCACAAAATTATGTGAAAATAAATTCCTCACATATATTTTGGAATCTAGATCAATATCAACCTGAGACTCATTATTTAACATTATTTCATCACACAACATTGGTCTCTTACTTGTTACAGTGTCTCTCAAATTGTTGATATGGTCAACAAGATATGTTTGTGAAACACTGATGCCCCCGTATGGCAGCTTATGGCAAAGATTAAAGTTTCTTAAAGCCATAGCTCCAACCAATCAAAAGTTATGGGCAGGGTTCAAGTTTTTGTGGACAGACAGACGGACAGACAGGGCAAAAACTATACCCCTGAATCTTCGATTACGGGGGCATAAAAAACTTTTTATGCCACTTGTAAATCAATGAACTGGAATTATTTTATAGTCTATAAATAGTTCCTATATGATCTGTACAAATGCAAACAGTTCAAAATACTTGTACATATTCACTGGATTTGATCATATTCACTGAAAGGTTAGTAGCGGCACATCATCGCAAACCATGGGTTTTGTGTCCATTCTATTTCCACAAACGGGTTTGTGGAAATAGAATTCATGGACACAAAACCCGTGGCTTTCCACAAAACCTGAGTTGCCACAAACCCGTTTGTGGAAATAGAATGGACACAAAACCTGTGGCTTGCGATGATGGCAGCGGCATTTTACAAACTCAGTGTCAGCAATATTGCTTTCGGTAAATCCTGCAGACACTAGCTATGCTCCATCAAATACAATTGTACCTGCATTTGTGTCTAGATTTTCATGGAGTTCCTTCTATGTGCATGTATTCTAATCAGTGCTTTACTTACAACTTCCATAAATTGATAAGGGAACTTCAATTATAAGAAAGGAATTCTTAACCTCCCACCCCACCCCAGAATTCCTTAGAAACTATTTTTTCTTCAATTTGAAAGGTTCTTTTTGGAATATCTTACCCAAGGACTATTACAGACCATTTATATATTATACTATTAATAGATTCCTAAATAAATGCGAAGAATTAATTATCACACAATTTCCCGAGTACACCACTTGTGAAATAAAATTACTCGCTATTATTTTTATGGTGCTAAAATCCTGGTAAAATCCCTTGATTAACCTTCTACTCCTGAATTATTGTTCTTGCGATTTGACATTAAAGAGCCATTTCGCGATAATAAGAACCTGCGAAAAATAAGGAATCTACAATACTGGATATGGAGGGTTTGTGGTATTAAACATCACTGAGTAAAAACAATATTGTATTGATCAAGGTACACAACTCCAGAGAATTCTTTGACCTGAGTGTGTTTTCTCCCTGCTTTTCATGAATGCATTGAATGGAATATAATATTGATAGTCATAATCATGGAGTATTAGGCTAGGATCACAGTAAGTGTCAATTATTTTCCAAGGTTGCTTTTGTTATAATTCATTCCTATGTAAACAGTATAAGAGGTAACATATGCAGATGTGCATTTTCCACTGTTATTTAAAATTTTCAAGAACTAATTAACTCAAATTATTGTAATAATTTTCATTGTCAGAAAATATACCTATCATATGTTGTACTGTACTTTTAATTAGACTAGTGCTTAAAAAGGTTAATATTGAACCCTGGCATTCAAACATGCAACATCAAAAGATGAGGTTAAGACAGGATGCATAGCACTAGGGTTTTGATTTTGCTGGATGGATGACACTTTTATGATTGCATAAAAATGCATGATTGCAAATAAAATGTTGAGACTAGCCCTCTTCAAAAAATTGTGAAATGATCCCTTGTTTCAGGGTCTGCAGAGTGTGGCATATTGATCTTCATTGAAAATCCATATCTTATGAAGTCCTCTTATTTATCCTTACTTATTTACTTATGGACATCTAGCAGGAAACTGTTGTTCGTAATGAGTTCTCAACATTTTATCATTAATTCATATTTGTGAAATACAAACCCCCTAGGTCGAGTAATGGGATGTTTTGTGCCGATGCATGGTTTGCCCTCAGATGGTTCTGTTTTGCCCTTTGATGGTTCATGCTACAGTGTTTCACTCTGGATGCAAAAATGTGCTATTTATGTTGAATTTGTTCAGCAAAAAATAATGCAAATAAATATAAATATATGCCAGTATGTATATATAAGTACATGTGTCTCGCTCAGAAAAAATCATGGAAAAGTATCCACTGTGGCACAAGCACTGTTTAGCCAACTCACTGATATTTTGCATATATAACATACCAAGGCACAAGAATATTTTAGTACATGTTTCACACCTCGAACAAAGGGTTTTTGCTGCCACCAAATCACTTGGTATTGAGTCCTACAAAACACTGACTATTTTTTGCTGTCAGACCTTGATCATATTTGATTTTTAAAATGTCAATTTAAGGCCATTTTTTCATGAAAATTACTACAGTTTCAGAAGAGGATAGATAATCTGAGCTATTTAATATACTGAAATTGTGTAATTTTTTTACCCCAAAAATCTAACGAAATTTTTATTCTTTTTTGCTCATGAACTGGGCCAAGTGAAATATGGACTCTCCATGAATGACCAATTTTGCAAAGTTTGCTTAAATTCAGAGTAAAAAACCTCTTTAGATATATCATTGAAAAGCAGGGGTACATAGTGATGGGGGAGTCCATCTGTCCGTACATCCATCTGTTACGCTTTGGGGGTACATGTATATACATCTCTTATCCACAACTCCTCTCATACCACTGAATAGAATTTAATGATACTTTCACAGAATATTTGTTACATAGTGCCATTGTGCATCTCCTATTTTACTTTTTGATCAGACACATATTTCGGGTTTCCAAAAGCAAAACAGAGACACCGCCATTATTCCAATAATATTGAGGGGTACCCATGCATCTCTTATCTGTGATTTCTCTTATACCACTGAATAAAATGTTGTAATGATACTTTCACAGAATATTTGTTACATAGTGCCATTGTGCACCTCCTATTTTATTTTTTGATCAGACACATATTTTCGGGCTCCCATAGCAAATCACGGACTTTGCCATTATAAACATATGGGAGACTGGAGTATCATTTTGTGAGCTCAGTGCTCACAGTTCTTCTAGTTATATCTTAAAACCTCCATCATAAGTTAAGAAAATACTAGAATATTGAGCTCAGAAAAAAGTAGACCTACCATGACAAATAACCTAAAAACATATGCATTCAGCAAAATGCAAATTTCATCATATGTCATCCTTTATAATACATAACAAATTATCTATCCCAATAACACAGGTTTTCACAAATTTACCTTATACTTATTAATCAAAAGACTTTTATTTACCTTGAAGCTTGATGCTTTCTAAAATTTCTATGTACATTATTTAAAAAAGGTCAGATTTTTTTGGGAAGGGGGGATACACGTACATATTGATTTTATTGACCCTATACCTTTACGTAAATTTGAGTTTTCCCAACTCTGAGTGTTCTTTTTTTTAAGGAGAGAATATTTTATTTATTACCTGATCCAACAGATATTAGCGGACTTGTTCTTAATTCAGCTTAAGAGAAATGTTTTTTTTTTTTTTTATTTTTAGCTCACCTGAGCTTTTGGGATCAAAATTTGTCTGTTTTCTGTCGTTGTTGTCATAAACATTTTTACGATTTCGTTTTCTCCTCCAGATCCACTTGGCCAATTTCAACTAAACTTGATATAGAGTATTGTTGGATTAAGGGCATTCAGGTTGGTTCAAATGAAGGGCAACATGTTCCCTCTTTCAAGGGGAGATACTGAAGAAATAGTAAAAATTGGGTTGGGACATTTAAAAATTTTCTCAAAAACCACTGTGCCAAAAAAGATGAAACTTGTGTGAAGGCTTCCTTTTATAGTGTAGATTCAAATTTGTTCAAATCATTACATCCGGGGATAGGGTGGGGCAATTATGGTCGATTTAACTTTTACATGTCAATATAAAGAGGCATGATTAGTCATATTCATACAGAAGTATCATCAGCAGACTTGGGGTAATGCTAAATATAATGGTAATGCATTGCGATGTATTTTCAGATCTATGTACGAGTATGTACATGTTGTTTCTAAATGTTCAAAATTGCCAAAGAGTCATATTAGACAAAAACTAAAAGCTTCCATACATGTATAAAGTTGCAGATTCAAGTTTGTTCAAGTCAGTGGCCCTCTGAGTTACAATGGGGCAAAGCTGGGGATCAAAGATTTTTTTTATATGGGAATACTGCAAAAAATTGTCATTTATCGGGGTTGAATATTTAAAATTTTCCTGGTTTTAGAAATTTGGTAAGTAGAAACTTTGGAGGTCTACTAGAAACTTAGAGTACATAGCACATATTAATGTAAAACTGTGTTTTCCCTAAGAACTAGCTACCAGCCAAAGTGACCACTTTAATTGTCAATGATATAAATGTCACTAAAAAACAAACTTTAAAAACATAACTGTTATAAGGTCCATAGAGATTTTATTCATAAACCTGAACCCCTAGCCTGTTACAATTGATCTCAAACCCTTTACTTCAAAACAAAGGGAAAACACTGTATAATGAGGCCCATAAGCCACAATGCTTACCCTTAGTTACCTTGGCAATGCTGTTCTTGAAAAAAATTTTAAACAATTTTTTTCTATATATTCCCAAGTATTTTTTTTTCTATGTATTCCTAAGTAAAACATTTTTTTCTCTATATTCCCAAGTAAAACTGTGACTGTTGCCCAAAGGGCAATAACGACCAAACTTGCATCTACACTACATGGGAATGGTTGTATATCATTATGACCAATGATGGACTGTTCTTGAGAATTAATTTTAAAAGAAATTCTCTATTCTTATTTTAAACTATTGTGGTCCCATCTATTGTGGTGCCAAAGAGGCAAATGCATAATTGACCAAACTTGGATTAAGATTTGAACAAATATGAATCTATGTTACATGGACATGGGGATAGTGGTACATGTGTATATCATTTATTAGTGGTCTTAAATCTGCCAAGGGTTTGTGGAGAGTGTGGTGGATTGAAAAGGGCAAGATGAATTTTTTTATGCTCCGTTTGTCTTTTAAACTGACATGTTTTTCCTTAAATAAGAATAAGGGATAATTCAGCTTGGATATTTAAGAATACTTAAAATTAATACTGCTCAGCTGATTTACTCGGTAAGATTATTCAATTTTAATATTTTTTTAAGGTTTTGGAAAGAGGTATGAAGGCTTCTGCAGTGCAGTATGATTTTATGGACAATGCCAATGAAATTCTGCACCCCAAGAAGTACTTTTCACATCTGTATCAAGGAAGTATACCAGAAATCTACAATACGTTCTCTCCTACCAAGCCTAAACCTCATGAACTGGTGACCAGAAATGAAGGTTTTTGTAAAACAAAATCATCACTAGGGTTCCGATATGGCCTTAGTGTTGGTCAGCTAATAGAAAGGATCAATAAAAAAGTAGAGGTCAATGAATTGTGTATTAGTGCAAAAGAAAATGGAATAAGAGCTGCAAGTCCACAGCCAGTAGAAAGCTTAATTACACCTATAAAAGACATTAAATCATTATTATCCATAGAGAATGATGACATTTGTAAGTTTGAGTGCCAGGTGAAGGAAGCAGATAGTACAATGGCACTGAGTGAGACATCACAGAAAAAGGAGAGACGGTGGGCGTTAGGGACTCAGAATCCTTGTCAAGTCTGTGGGGATAAGGCAGCAGGATTTTACTGTGGAGCATTCGTCTGTGAGGCTTGCAAGGTACACTTTGATTACTTTATATGTTTTTCATTGGGTTGAAACCTTTTTTTTTTTAGCCAAAGGTTAGGTGCATGAGCTTTAACCATTGCTGCAATGTCTATTCATTTTGGAGACTTTTAAATTTCTGTATTTATCCCAATACTCTTTGCTATTTTTTTTATATGTATATACATGTATATTTATAACTATTCAAGGTCTGTCTAATAATTATTTAGACAGTGTTAATTACTAGGCAAAAAGAGAGGAGAAATTATGGAAACATTATGTAACAATCTCATTTCTTTTTAACTGTATGTTAAATGTTAAATTTTAAGGAATGGGCTTTAAATCACTTGAAATCCAGTATGATGCTACACCAGTAGAAGTTTAAGATGTTACTGTAACATCATTTTGAAATTACTGATATGAACAAATGAACAAATAGAGAAAAGACAATCACTCTCTTTATTTGTCTCTGATAAATGACCTCAGCTCTGGTCCAACATTTTGATCCACTGAAGCAGTGCATCTTCAGAAAGTGTGTCACAACTCAAAAGTTGGTCACTGTGACCTCATTTTGTAATTTAATGGCAATACATGTACATGTGATACTGATAGTTAAATTTTGGTCCAACTTATAAGTGAGTCCTAGAACAATCAGTATTTTTTGTTTGATGAAATGTAGTATTTTCTTAACTTTAACAAATATCATTGATATGATTCTTTTGTACAGGAAATGAACATCTTAAGTTACCATATGTGTAAAGTACAAGTTCCTACAGATTTTAATGATTTTATTTTTGTTTAAAATGTATATTTTTTTTATTGTCCCTCATTTTCATGAAAGCGAGGGGATCATTAAATCTCTGTCTGTCAGTCTGTCCATCTGTCAGTCTAGCAGTCTGTCACAAAAACTTTAACCTTGGTCATAACTTTTGAATGAGAAGAGATAGAGCTTTCATATTTCACATGTACCTTACCTCTGACAAGACCTTTCCAAGTATACTAAGATTTTTGACCTTTGACCTTGAAGTTTGACCTACTTTTAAAAAATTTTAACATTACTTTAATATATTTGACACGTACATTACCTGTGTCAAAATATTTCTGAATGTGCTGTGGTATATGACCCCATGACCTTGACCTTCATGTTTGACAGAATTTTCAAATGTTTCATCAGTGTTGCTAACTTTTGAAGGAGCGAAGATAGGGCATTTATGTTTGACACCTGCTTTACCTGTGTCAAGCATTCCCAAATGTACTATGATTTTTTAACTCCATGACCTTAAAGTTTGACCTGATTTTCAAAAATGTTAACATTGCTGATAACTTTGGATTGAGAGAAGATATGGCATTTTGCATTTCACATGTGCTTACCTGTTTCAAGACCTTTCCCATTGTGTAATCTGTTTTTTTTTTTTTAAATTTTTATGCCCTGCTATGAATATGGCCGAGGTATATAGTGTTTGTCATGTCCGTCTTCCGTCCTTCCATCCTTCTGTCCTTCCGTCCTTCCGTCACACTTTGCGTTTAGCTCTGTTCAAAGCTCAGGTTCAAAGAAACTATCCAAGATATTTTTATCAAGCTTCATATGCTGATAGCTATTGATGAGAGCTATGCAACTGCATCAACATTTTTTGACCTTGACCTTTCCTTTGACCTTGACCTCACTTTTCTTAAATTAGTGTTTAGCTCAGTTTTAAAGATACCATTCAAGATAGTGTAATCAAACTCATATGTTGATACATACTGATGTAAGCTATTCAACTGCATCAACATTTTTTGACCTTGACCCTTTCTTTTGACCTTGACCTCACTTTTCTTAAATTAGTGTTTAGCTCAGTTTTAATGAAAAAATTCAAGATATTTTTAACAAACTTCATATGCTGATACATGCTGATGAGAGCTATTCAACTGCATCAGTATTTTTTACCTTGACCTTTCCCTTGACCTTGACCTCACTTTTATTAAATTAGTGTTTAGCTCAGTGTTAATGAAAAAAGATTCAAGATATTTTTAACAAACTTCATATGCTGATACATGCTGATGAGAGCTATTCAACTGCATCAGTATTTTTTACCTTGACCTTTCCTTTGACCTTGACCTCACTTTTCTTAAATAGGTTTTTAGCTCAGTTTTAAGGATACCATTCAAGATAGTGTTATCAAACTTCATATGCTGATACATACTGATGTAAGCTATTTAACTGCATCAATATTTTTTCACCTCGACCTTTCCTTTGACCTTGACTTCACTTTTCTCAATTTGTGTTAGAATGTTGCATTATTTATTAATATACCCTTGGTGGGGCATTCATGTCCTATGGACATATTTCTAGTTTTAACATGTCTATTACTTGTGATAAAACCTTATGGATTGTATTATTATATTTAACCTCATGACCTTGATCTTGAAGTTTGATGTAGTTTTGAAAAGCTATAATATTTGCCATAACTGTTATTAATTCAATATTTTTTTTTTGTTTAATGCACAGACAAGACAGGACACACAAACAAGACAGTTACAATACGCCATAAATGATGGCATTCCATCCACTAAGACACCGAAAATCCTTTGAAAAAATATTGAGTGCATTTGTGTGTATTTGTTCAATTCAATGTGGATTTAACCTTTTATGTCAATTAAAGAAAAAAAGATTTTAATTTTTAATAATATTTCTAACTACAGGTATTACTCAGTTATTAAGTCTATAAACGAAGATGTTTGAAGAAGTATTTTTGTGATTTTCTATATTCTCCTTATGACCATGTACCCCTAAAAATGGCTGTAAATTATAGTCATACTGTATAATCCCTATTAACCGCCCCAGGCGATTAGAAAATTGCAAAAAGGAGGCATTTATTTTGGTATTCTCTTTATAATATTTAATGTCATATTTTAACTTCAAAAAATCTTGTGCAAAAAAAATAAATTCAGAAAACAACTAAAAGATTGTTTAATTTTCCTTTAAGTTAAGATAATCCACCCAAATTATGCTAAATGTTTCATTTTTCCACAAATTTTGAAGGTAACTTTCACTTTCAGAAATATATAATTATTAGGTCGTTCTAAAAATCTTTCACTTTCAGTAATACTTTACGTACGAGTTACCCAATAATCAAGCTTCACTTTCACTTTCTTCAAATTATGGTGGACTTTCGATACGATTCTAGATGATTTTAATCACTGTAGAGGGGGCCCTTATTTCCTGACAATTGAAAAAGACCCGGGGGGGGGGGGTGCTTATAGGGGCAGGGGCGGTTGATAGGGATTATACGGTAGTGTATAATTATCATTCTAAATTGCACCTTGCAGCTGCACTATACATTTAATAAAAAGAAAACATGCTGTGTACTTTTAATTGATTAATAAGCGAGTGCTAATTACTCATTTTGAAAAGTTTGAAAATCCTGTGACAAAGACTCTGACATAGGTTCTACCTTAAAGAAAATGATCGGCAAGTGTAAATCTCTCATCCGTTTTTAATATACATGTACTGAAAGATTTCATACAGAAAAATTAAATTATTCAAAAATCTGCAACATCATGACCAAACTGATATTTCTCGTAAGCAGTAGAGCTGTTAGCTGTTACAGAAATTCTGTATTTATTTGGGATTTTTGTTTTATGGATTGGCTTATAATTATTATGCTTTTGGGGTACACTTAGAATTGTAGTTATATTTTTAAATTACATCCTATTTATACTTTAGCAATAATAATGATTCACTTAAAAATGTTAATTACACTGATATGTATTTGGATTGCCATTTATGACAAAAATGTAATATTAACAAAAATCATTCTCATCTCCTCTCATCTAAAAGTTATCAGATATACATAAAAAAAATTAAGACAATGTATTGCCAACAATAAATTAAGAATGAAAAGCTTGAATTATGATGAGAAACAAATTGAATTTCTGGAAACTACAGGATAAAGCTCTGAACCAGAGACATAAATGACATCGCTATTTATGTCTCTGCCATAACATTCATGCATGAAAATTTTCTCATTTTGATACACTATAGCTATCCATAGTCAAATCTTGTCCCAGATATGTCTTTCACATTGTGAAAACAAAGACAATCAAACCACTTCCTTTTATTTTTTTGAAAAAGCTCTTTTGTGTTTTTCTTTCATTATAAAGGAAAGAAAATTCAGGTATGCTATAGTAACTTTATTCCTATGTAGTTACAAATAACAAGGTCACAGCTTGTGACAGTGAGTATATTCATAAATAGAAATGCATCATGTAGTTCCAGACAGATGTATCATGTGTCCTAGGAGTGTTTTTCATTTAATTTTAGCTCACCTTAGCTGGAAGCTAAGTGAGCTTAAAAGCTTCTCTGATCACAGTTTGGCTGGCATCTGTCTGTCTGGCCATCTGTAAACTTTTTAGCTCACCTGAGCTGAAAGCTCCAGTGAGTTTTTCTGAACACCCGTCGACCGTTTGTCTGTTAGTTCGTCTGTAAACTTTCACATTTTCAACTTCTCAAGAACCACTGGGCCAGTCGATAAGAAGCATGCTTGGATGAAGGGAAGTTTAAAATATTAAAATGAAGGGCCTAGCCCTCTTACAAGGGGAGATAATCAGGAAAAGACAAAAAATAGGGTGGGTCATTAAAGTCAGATGACACCTTCCTCAATAATATATAATTTTTTCCCAATAATTTGTCATTGAAATATTTCTACCTTAAAGTTTCCTCCTAAAAAGTTGAGGCACCTTACCAATTGGCATTTGTGGAAGGTAACGGAGGATGGTGTTTCCAGTATAATCCTTTTGGAAATGACTTGAATTGCTTATATCACAATTTTTTAGTCTTTATTTTTAAAAGCAGTTTAGAAATAGCAAGATAACAATAATTATAAATATTTTTTTGTAAATTACAAAGCAGATATTTGAGGAACTTGTTGTCTGACCTAAAAAATCTTCTTTCAAGAACCACCAGGCCAGAAAAACTGAAACTTATATAGAAGCATCCTGGGATAGTGTAGATTCTAAATTGTTCAAATCATGAT